ACCCTGAGGGCTGCGACGGCTTACCCCGAGCTGGGGGCCGAGGGCAGCCTGCCCTGGGCAGAGGGCCACGACGGTTCACCCCAAGTTGGGGGCCAAGGGCAGCCCATCCCAAGCACGGCAACACCCCCCAGGAGCTGGCTGGTATACTCCTCCTCCAATTGCCCCTACCCCAGACTGGTCCCCTCGCCTGACTGAAGACTCTGGTCAGGGATAGTGTCACCCATTCCAGCACTGCCACTTTTTACCACCCCACCCCCGTAAGTGGTCATACTATATTTTGAAGTAGGTGTCACTGCCCTCCCCCTTTATATATGATAAAGGGAACCTGAGAATTGTGAACAGACTCCCCCCAGGTCTAACCATCTTTTGGCAGAAGCATTCAACAGAACAAAATATGTGGTACATTTAGGATGTGGGTCCTCTTGTGCATGCTGCCACTGTTAAGGTCACAGACTCACAGTGACTTTCAGCAGTCCATTCTATATATAGGTAATCGTCTTCTTTGGCCTGTTCAAGGAAACCCAAACCTGCAGATGGCGGGCATGCATCCCATCCCCCACCTCCTACTCAGGCGGCCAGCGGGGTGTGCACCCCCCCCCAGCGCGGGTGGCCGGCGGGGGGCGTGCAGTCCCCCTTAGCGCGGGCGGCCGTTGGGGGTGCGACCCCCCACCCTGCCTAATGGGTACTCCGCGGCCGCACGGCCCCTCTTGTGTGGGTGGCTGGCGCCAGCCTCCCCCACCACTGCCATCCTGGCGCCAAGAATTCTCTCCAGGACAAGTCCACCTTGTGGCAGTGTGGTAGCCTCACTGCACCAGTCTTGAGGAGGACCGGTGCCCAGCATCCATCCTGGGTGAGGGAATCCATTCGTTCTGGCTGTGGAAGCCTCATGGAGCTGCAGCTGCTGTGTGGTGTGGCGTGGGCTTTTGGGGGGGGGGGGGGCAGGGGGTTGGGAGCCACGAGACTCACCCATTTCTCCTTGGGAATCCTTGAATTCCTGTTGTTGAGCCTCGATCTTCACTGAGGGCCAGTCATCAACTGTTTAAGTGTTCAATTATCAATAAGCTGAAGTCTGTGGAAGGCCATAATGGCCCTGCTTTAAGTGGTTCGCTGGTCCCGCAGCTCACCACGCTGTCTCTGCCTCCGCCGCCATCTTGCTTAAAGTCTTCTTAATACAGAGAAAGAACCACCTACACTATTGTAATTTAAAGTAAAGCTCCCTCATAAAGGAGACGAAAAGAAAATAGTATCCTTTAATTTCATAGTTGATCTTCTCTTAGTGGCAAAATGAATCACTCAAGCATCGTGTACTTTCTTTGAAGATAGTCTTCCTCAGGAAGGATGGCACAGAATTGAACTTACTGTTTCAGTCTTAAAAAGAATTTTTTTAAAGAAAATAATCAGTTCTTTAAAAAAAAATTCAGACTACAAATATTTTTGTTGTTGCCATTAAGTGCTGTCAAGTCATAGAAGACTCATAATTATCCTATGAACAGAAGACCTGAACCCTTGTATATAAGTTTCATCATTTCTCCAAGTTCATAGAGTTTCCAGAGGCAAGCTGTTTTGGAAATGGATGTCACTCCTGCTTCCAAGCTTGTTTTAATCAGGAAGCTCCACCAAACACTGTCCACCATGGGTAACCATTATTGCATTTGACACATCAGTGACACAGTGACAAACATCTATGAAATAGTAAATATCTTAGTTTCACAATGTCTTGTAATGTATTTTTAAATATTTTTATTCTTATTTTTTTTAGTTAAAACTTACTTTAATAATGGAATTATGAGGTAAACAGGTATCCTATTTTAAGGCATTTAAGAAAAAGTTAAATATTAAAAGCAATAGGGATAATAGAAGGAAAACTGATGGCTTTGAGCTGTGAAGCTAGAGAAGACTATTGCATATACCATGGACCACTAGGAGAAAAACAGGTTCCTTCTGGAGAGGGTGAAAGCAGGCTGTTTCTTGGAGGCAAGGATTCTGAAGCTTCATCTGACATACTTTGGACAGGTTGCAAGGAGGGACCAGTCCTTGGAGAGGGATGTCATGGTTGGGAGGGTGGAGGGAGAGCACAAGAGAGGAAGACCCTCCTTAGATTGACTCAGTGACTGGGGTAATGAGGGTAGGTGTGGCAGAGACAAAAAGTTTGGCACAGGATGGAGCAGGTTTCATGGCTATAACTATAGGGTCGCTATGAATCACAGGTGACTCAACAGTATATAGCAACAGTAACATTAAAATGAAACATGAGAGAGAATCTAGAGTTAGAAAATCAAAAGGAAAGAACATACTTGACCTTTCTCAAGCTGAGCTGAAGAAAATACTTATGCCTTGAGTTGTAATATTGAATAATTCTGTGGGTGAAATGCTGAATGATACAAAAAGTATCAAAAGAAGAATGAGAGAATATGCAAAGAAAGGGTTGATGTTTAGCCATTTCAGGAGTTAGCATATGATCAAGAACCAGTGGTATTAAAAGAAATCCAAGCTGCACTGAAGACACTGACAAAAAACCAAGACTGCTAGAACTGACAATTACCAGGTGAGATGTTTCTGCAAATAGGTGTAATGCTGGAGGTGCTGTCTAGTCCCTGTTGAGAAATGTGGAAGATGGCTAACCAACCAACTAACCGGAAGCCATCCAGATTTGTGCTCATCTGGAAAAAGCCCCGAATTTTTTAGTTATTGAACTTTACTACCACATGCAAGTATACTCTTGTTGAAAAGAATGATGAAGGGATTGAAACAGTACATCAGCAGGGAGCTGCCAAAATTCAGACTTGATCCTGAAGAAGACATCGAAAAAAAGAGAACATTGCTGACTGATGGATTTTGACTGAAAACAGAATACCAGGAATAAGTTTACTTGTGTTTTATATCTATGTAAAGTCATTCAGTCATAACAAATTATGGATAATAATAGTGCAGAGAATGAATTTTTTTTTTTAAATTTTTTTTATTTTTGTGTGTATGTACCGTCAAATCAGATCTGACTGGTACAGGAGGAGATTGTCCCTCCTTCCCCGGCAAAGCATCTGGTGGATTCAAACCGTGCGCCTCTGAGATTGTAGTTGCAGCTCCTTGCCACTAGGCCACCAGAGCTCCCCTTGAATTTTTTGTTATTTTATTTTGTTATTTTGTGTGTGTGTGTGTGTGTGTACTGTCAAATTGGATCTGATTGGTACAGGAGGAGATTGCCCCTCCTTCTCCAGCAGAGCATCTGGTGGATTCGGACCGGAGAATGAAAAAAATCGATTGTGCTGACGTAGAACCTGAATCAAGATCAAGAGACAGTCTTTCAAAGAGAATGTGATGACATAACATGGTTTTAAGTAAGGGAAATGTGCATCAAGGTTGCATTCTTTGACCATACTTATTTCACACTGTGTGCTGAGCAGATAAAAATCTGGACCTTGTGTAGAAAAATGTGGCATCAGAATTGCAAAAGACTCCACAGCCTCTGATATTCAGGTAACACAACGTTGCTAAGAGAGAAAAGGACGTGAAGGACTTCCTGATGAAGATCAAAGCCTACAGCTTTCGGCATGGTTTATTAACATAAGACAAAAATACCCACAGCTGCTTGTCAGTGAGAAAAATCATGATAAATGGACAGGCGATTGAAGTTGTAGAGATTCTCAGTTCATTTGTATCGGTATCAGGGGGAGCAACAAGCAGGAAGTCTAACAAGGCATGCCTATCCCAAGCCATGGCGTTGTCAGATGGCTCATGTGTTTGTAAAATTTGGACAATGAATAAGAATGAACAAGGAAGAATTGAAAAGTATCAGCCTTTATGGTGTCAGTGAGAGATACTGAATGTAGCAGGGACTGCCAGAAGAACAAACAAGTGTATCTTGGAACAAGTCCAGCCTGAATGTTTCTCAGAAGTGAGAATGATGATTGAGACTTTGTCTCATGGACTTTGGACTTATCAGGACCAACCAGTCATCGCTAGAGAAAGACATCAAGCAAGATAAAGTAGAAGGTTAGCGACAAAGAAGACGTGGGACAAGATGGATTGACACAGTAGGTGCACTTGTGGGCTCAAATATAACAATTGTGAGAACGTCACAGGGCCAGTCAGTGTTGTATTCCATTGTACGTGCGCTCTTTCAGGGTCAGCACTGACCTGACTGCATCTCACAGCATCTTCAAGATTCAGCAAGTACAGAGGGTGTGAGGATGGCGCTGGACAGAACACGGTTCAGATCTGTTGTTCTATAGGGTCGTTTATGACTCATACTCAAATCAACAGCACACAATAACAACTCTTCCTCCTGTATCCTTGAAGCTTGAAGTTTGAATTAGATTCCAAACACACATAAGAACTGTCAAGTAAAAATTCCTCTTTCACAAAAGCAAAATCCTGCCATTTGGTTGTTTGTGCTTTCCCTTATTTATTAAGTAGATGATTCTGAGGACCTTTTGTCATGTGATAATGCTTATAGTTCGGGAGTTTCACGTTAGAGCAAGTGGCATTTTTATGCAGAGTAGGTCTTAACTTCTTTCCCTTTGAAGTAGAGTACCATCAGGTCAGAACTGACTCGTAGCTGACCCTCCTCCGGCAGTTGCTCAGAGACAGTAAACCACACGAGGGGAGATTGCCCATCTCTCTCCTGCAGAGCAGCTGGTGGATTTGAGCCACATACGTAAGGAGTTGGCAGCACAACTTACCACTAAGCCACCAGAACTTCCAGCTCCATAACTTGGGGCCCCTTGTTGGCTTTTTTATCTATTTCCTTTTGAAATAATAGCCTGTAGTTGGTCCTGCTCTAAATGAAGATCACACCTCACTGTATGTGCTCATTTGATGATGACGAGGCTGTTTTGACAGGTATAGACTAGTCTGTCTTATCACTTGTATAATTAGTTTGCTCTTATCATGGATTTCAGAAGAGCAAGCCAGAATGTTAGAGATGTTCATTTTGAACATCATAAGTTAAACACTCTGTCTTGACTTACGTTTGATAGGCATTTTCTCTCTTTAATCTCTAGAACTCCTCCTCATGGGTATTGTATAACCTGGCTTCCTTTTACTGGAGAATAAAGAATGAGCCATATCAGGTAGTGGAATGTGCCATGCGAGCGCTCCACTTCTCTTCCAGGTAAGAGTCCTCCCATCTGGATCTCCTGATGTGCCCACATAACTCTGGACTTTTAAAAAAACAAACATGGGACAGCAGTAGGATTTGGACTATACACGTAGTCCCCTCCAGCCTTCTCCAAAGAAATCAGTCTCAGTTTAAAAAAGTCACAGATGTGAAAAGGTTCAACATGGTACTTTCATAAGGTGTTTCTGATTTTCATTAAGGGTAAATCTATATATAATGCAAACATTCTGTGATTCATCTGAGAATTTAATTCAAGGCATTTGGCTAGAGAAATTATGAGTTAAGTAACTTTTTCATAAAGTAATTATAAACTTTAATTACATTTTAAAATCATAAAATGTCTGCCGGACCAGGTTTTTGTAGCACCATCAACATTATAAAAATGAGACCTGGTGATCCTCAGACATGGTTTCCTTTCCCTATAACTGTACACAAGGATATTTTCCTAAGCCCAGTAGCCGTGAACGTCGTAGTTTTGTAATTGTGGGACACATTAGCTCTTCTCTTGTAAGATCTAACTCGCCTCCCCTTCTCTTTTAGGCACAATAAAGACATTGCCCTGGTCAACCTGGCAAATGTGCTGCACAGAGCACACTTCTCTGCAGATGCTGCTGTCGTCGTTCATGCAGCCCTGGATGACAGTGACTTCTTCACCAGCTATTACACGCTGGGGAATATATATGCTGTAAATGCAGCTTTTTGTTTCATGAGCCAAATGAGTTGCTGTTTTCGCTATTTCATTTTCAATAGTTTGTCTTTTTTTTTCCTTTTCACTTTGTAGCTGAAAAAGGGGACATAGCTAGTAGTGAAGACATTGGGTGGAAAAGTTTAGCACATCAGTGTTTCTTAGTTTATTTTAGACTCTTTACAGGAAAATTAATTGTTGAAAATGTTAAACTCCTACAAAGTCGACATACTACTATTTTAAAATATCAATACTTGTAAACTTTCATTAAAGTTAATGAAAAAACATAACAAAAAAATAACAATAACTTCCAACCAAGTTGTCTAATATTACCTAAAATCTAAAATACACATGCCTTCATATTCTGGAGATCTGGCAAAAGTAGTATTCGCTGTGGTTGAGATATACGCATGATTGCACAGATCATTAGGAAGTTAGACAGATACAGTCAGGCCGTGGCTAACTTTTCCCTTCCATGTTTGTGTTTGGTTTTGTCTCTTCAGATGCTCGGAGAATATAACCATTCAGTGCTCTGTTATGACCATGCTTTGCAGGCCAAACCTGGGTTTGAACAAGCTATAAAGAGGAAGCACGCTGTCCTGTGCCAACAAAAACTTGAACAAAAATTGGAAGCTCAGCATAGGTAATTGGAAGAAAGTATTTTGCTGAAGCACTCCTCATAGAACCTTAGGTTAGATCTATTTTTGGAGATAATCAGTGTTAATTTGATCATTAGGTTATAAAAGAGACCACTTGTACTTTCTACCACTAGTCCTGTCTCCTTTCTCCATAACCAGGAAATTTAGCCTAAATCAGAAAGTCCTGTAGATGCAATGATTAAGCATTTGGCTACTATCCAAACCGTCAGAGGTTTCAGTGTACCAGCTCTCTGGAGGAGAAACAGGGCAGCCTCCTTCCATAAAGATGTGTAGTATGGCCTCGGCATGCTGTGGACAGTTCTACTCTGTCCTGTAGAGCCGGTAGGAATCAGAATCGACACAGTGGCAATAGATTTGGGGTTTTTTGTTGGTTTTGTGTAAATCCAGTGGTTATAGAAAGGAAACTCCTGAATAGCAGGGATTCTAAGAACTAGAGAATACTTCCAGTAAAATCTCTTCTTTTCATCTTTACAATTCTGAGCTCCAGTTTCTTTTATGAAGTCAGTTTGGGAGATTGTGAGATAGTCAGTAATTCTGCAAACTATGTTTATATTCCCATAGCATACACAGTGTCAGTGAAATCACCTGTACGTGCTCTATTTGATCTTTCTCTTCTTTGACTTCTAGGCCTGGGCTATTCTTATGCTAATCATGTGGAGCTGAGAGACAATATTTGGCCCCCAGTTTAAGCAAATGTGTGTGTCAAGTTGTACAGTAATAGGATTCTGTTGTACTTTCTCCTGGTAGTATGTATATTTAATAAAAAATAAATTTTGATTCCACAAATTATAGTTGCAATTAAGACACTTCATATAATCCAAAACTGCATTGTTCATCTCTTCTAAAATGACCTTTAATCCTTTTGTGTCTAATTTGGTTGTGAGAAAATGAAATGGAAGTTGGAAACTCATTAAACTTTTTGTGTTTGCATATTTTTCAATCTGTTTAAAGCACAATGGAGTAAAGTAGCAAGGTCAGTTTGTGTGTTTATAACTGGCTTATAACTGATCAAAACTTGCTCTCGCTTTGTTTCTCATTCATAAAACTTCACTTCTTTCAAAAGTTTGCTCTTCAGAATGGTCCTCTGATACTCAGTGTATATTGTTCCTAAATCTCCATATTTTAAAATTATAAGAGTTTTTTATTACATGGAATCAAGCAGCTGATTTGTTGAAATCAGACCATAGAGAATATTTCTTCCTCAGCAGTGTTTTCTCTGGTCTTTCCTATCATCTGTTGTTCTGAGAGCTATAGTGTGAGATCAGGGTACACAGCCCTCTTACTCTAAGGTTATTAGCAAGGAAGGTCCTACAAAGGCTTTGAATGTGAGTGTAACCAACACAAATTTTGTGATGAGAAATGAAGTTGTTAAATCTATGAAGATTTGTAGTCTGCTGCTATGTATTTTTTATGGCACCTGAGAAACCAGCAGGCTATATTAACGTCAGGATATTTATATTTAAGAGAAGAAAGCCACATCTATCTTTTTTATCCTGACTTTTAATAAGAAAAGTGGCATTTGTTTATTCCTGTTGTTCTTGAATTTGTGGCACATTGGTTACATGTTAAAATAAAAGGACATAGCTCAGCAGTCACTGCTGAGAACCAGAATATTTATGCATTTAAGTGAATTTTAAAAGTCACCATTTTGAAGCTCTGTAACTTTTTCCCTGATATTAAAAAACACTAAGATCCCTCCAGCGAACATTGAATGAGTTGAAAGAATATCAAAAACAGCATGACCACTACCTGAGACAGCAGGAGATCCTGGAAAAACATAAGCTGATTCAAGAGGAACAAATCTTAAGAAATATCATCCATGAGACTCAGATGGCAAAAGAAGCACAATTAGGTGAGTTTTCATTCCCCACGGTTGAGGGAAAGTTAGGACGCTCACTTCCAGCGTGCTTTATTAGCTTCCATGTACCCATAAAGTAGAACTAAGGGGTGCTTAGGACTGCTCTCAAGGAGCCCAGATGGAGCCGCGGTGAATCTTTCAGCTGCTAAGTGAAGGCAGTTCAAGTCTACAGCACTTGGCAGAGAAAGATGTGGCAGTCTGCTTCACTAATCACTTCTGTAGAGACCCTGTGAGGCATGTCTTTTCCATCCTACAGGGTCACTATGAGTTTTATTTTGGTTTGTTTTTAATGACTCCTTAATCTTAAGATCTAGGCCTAGAAAAGGGTTTTGCTCTCACAGCTTTCTAAATTTACATAACAAACAGCAGTACTGCCAACTTCTAGCAGACCCTCCATCAGGTTTGCAAAGCCTCCACACTGTATAGAAGGAGATTGCACATCTTTCTCCCACAGAACAACTGGTGAATTCAATCTGCCTGCCTTTGAGTTGGCAGCACAACTCCTTTCCCACGAGACCACCAGAGCATCGTGAAGTAAACTAGAACTTTTAGATCCTAGAAATCTTAAGAGTTATTGTCCCTCCATGCTGTCCATCAAAGCTTTGTTGACTTTAGTATGCATATGGATCCCTGGAGATTGCTTTAAATGCAGATGCAGTTCTGAGAGTTTTGGGTGATGATTGGCCTCTATGAGGAGAAGTGTGGTATCACGATGAGAGGAAGACTCAGTCAACAACCTGCGCTATGTAGTCACACAGCCCTGCTTGCTGAGACTGAGAAAGACCTGAACTGTCGGCTGCAGAAGGACAAGGACTGTAGCCTTCAGTATGGATTGAATCTCAACATCAAGAAGACAAAGATTCTCACCACTGGTCATTTGGCAGCACCATGATAGATGAGAAGAATTTGTAGTTGATAATGTCCACTTACTTGATTCCATAATCAACACTCTTGGCACCAATAGTCAGGAAATCAAAGGATTAACTGTGTTGGGAAAATCTGCTGTGAAGAACCACTCCAGAGTACTGAAGAGCAGTGATCTCAGTCTAGACACTAAAGTGCACCTGATCCAGGCCATGGGTTTCAAAATTACTTGCTGTGCATCAGAAAGCAGGACACTGACTAATGATGACAAGAAGAATTGATGCTTTGAAGTTGTGGTGCTGGAGAAGAGTACTAAACATACCATGGACTGACAAAAGGACAAACAGGTCTCCTGCAGAGAATGAAGCCAAGTTGTTCATTGGAGGCAAGGATTTCGAAGTTCCATCTCACATGATTGAATTTTGCACAATTAATGACTTATTCATAGCAAATACGTTTTTTAAGAGACATAAATGCAGGTTATATACATGGATTTTACCTGATGGTATGCATAGGAATCAGATAGATTACATCTATGGAAAGAACCACTGGAGAAGCTCAATATCAGCTGAGAAAACTAGGCCAGGAGCTGATTGTGGAACAGACCAGCCACAACTCATATGCAAGTTCAAGCTGAAACTGAGGAAAATTAAACCAAATCCAAGGCAACCAAAATATGATTTTGAGTCTATCCCACCAGAATTTCAGAAGCATCTCAGGAACAGGTTTGAGGCCTTGAATACTAATGAGCGAAGACCAGACGAGTTGTGGAAGGATATCAAGTGTATCATCCAGGAAGAGTGCAAACAGTCATTGCAAAGACAGAAGAGGAAGAGAAGACCAAAATGGATGTCAGAAGAGACTCTGAAAATTGCACTGGAGTGCAGGGAATCCAAAGCACAAGGAAGAATTCAAGATATTAGAGTTGAATAGAAGATTTCAAAAGGCAGCATGGGATGACAAAGTAAAATATTACAATGAAATGTGCAAGGAGTTGGAGTCAGAAAATCAAAAGTTCTGAACTTGCTCAGCATTTCTTAAGCTCAAGGAACTGAAGAACAAATTCAAACCTCGAGTTGCTATAATCAAGGATGCTTTGGGCAGAATGTTAAATGATCTTGGAAGTATTAAAAGAAGATGAAAAGATATACTGAGTCACTGTGTCGAAAGGAATTGGCAGACACAGAATAATTTCATGAAACAACATATGAGCAAGAGCCTATGGTGATGAAAGAAGTAGTTCAGGCTGCTTTGAAGGAAATGGCAAAAAAGAAGGCCACAGGAATAGATGGTATATCAATTGACATATTTCAGCTAACAGATGCTGCCCTGGACGTGCTCACCAAATTGTGCTAAGAAATCTGGAGAACAACCACTTGGCCAACTGACTGCAAGAGATCTATATTTGTTCTCATCCCAAAGAAAGGTGACCCAACAGAGTGGAAATTGTAGAACAATATCATTGATTTCACATGCAAGCAAGATTCTACTGAAGATTATCCAAAAACAACTGGAACAGCTCATAAGCAGAGAAGGAATATTGTAGTTGATGTTACAGGGATCTTAGCTGAAAGCAGGGAATACCAGAGGAATGTCTATCTGTGTTTCATTGACTATGCAAAGGCATTTGACTGTGTGGATCATAACAAACTGGCTGACTCTGAGAAGAATGGGAATCCCAGAACTCTTGATCGTGCTAATGCAAAACCTATACTTGGACCATGAGGCAGTCGTCAGAACAGAGCAAGGAAACACTGCATGGTTCAAAATTGGGAAGGGCATACGCCAGGCATGTGTCCTGTCTCCATACCTTTTCAACCTGTATGCAAAACAGATTATCCGGGAGGCTAGGCTCTATGAGGAGAAATGGGGGAGTCAAGATTGGTGGAAGATCTATCAACATTCTGCCTTATGCAGATGACACAACTCTGCTTGCTGAAACTGAGGAGGACCTGAAGCACTTGCTGCAGAGGGTCAAGGACTGCAGCCTCCAATATGGATTGAGGCTCAATGTCAAGAAGACAAAGATTCTCACCACTGGACCAATTGGCAGCATCAGGATGGATGGTGAAGAGATTGAGATTGTTCACAGCTTTAGTTTGCTTCACTCCACAGTCAACACTCTTGGCACCAGTAGCCAGGAAATTAAAAGGCGTATTGCCATGGGAAGTCTGCTGTTAGGGACTTCTCCAAAGTACTAAAGAGCAATGGTGTCTCTCTGGAGACTAAGGTGCATCTGATACAGTCCATGGGCTTTGCTATCACTTGCTATGCATCAGAGAGTTGGACAGTGACCAAGGAGGATAGAAGGAGAATTGATGCCTTTGAGCTGTGATGCTGGAGAAGAGTATTGAGGGTACCACGGACTGCTAGGAAAACAAACAGATTCATCCTGGAAAGGGTTAAACAAGGTGGCTCCTTGGAGGCAAGGATTCTGAGGCTCTAACATACTTTGGACATGTTGTAAGGAGAGACCGGTCCTTGGAGAAGGACATCATGTTTGGGAGGTTGGAGGGACAGCGCAGGAGGGGAAGGCCCCTCTATAAGGTGGATTGATTCAGTGACTGGGGTAATCAGGATGGGAGTGTCAGAGACAGTGCGATTGGCACAGGACAAAGCAGAGTTTAGGGCTATTGTACATAGGCAGCTATGAGTCGCAAGCAACCCAATGGCACATAACAATTATTATATATGTTTATATATAAGATCTCAATTAAGGTATCCTTTCTATTTGGAAACCAACAGTATCCCCTTCACTGGAGTTAAGTTCCCTGTCTTTTTGCCCCAACATCTCCATGTACTTCATATAATTGCTTTTGTTAGTGAGTTTTTAAATTATTAAACTTAAAAAAAATGACAAATGCTATCACAGATCCTATCTTCATAGTTTGAAATATGGCCTGAGATTCTGCCTTTGCTGACAAGCTTCCAGGTGATGCCTGACACACTTATGAATTCATACTACATTTTGAGTTACAGATTGCTATTAATATAAGCCAGACACCCTAGAAAGAATACATTCACACTCTTGCTCCAAGGCTAAACCTTGATTGTTGTTAGTATTTTTCTTGTCCCCTTATGAAAAAACGGGTTTTTTTAAAGTAAGATATTAAACAATGATTTGCTCAGGCAGGAATTCTTACCCGAATACGTTTCAAGAGATTCTGAAAACCTCCTCAAATTCTGTATAGAAGTGTGCATACACACACTGTTCTTTTTCTTCTGGGAAGAAAATCTAAAGCTGTTATTAAAGCCATTTAGGGGCTAAATAAGATAATAATAATAGATAAGATAATAAGTCTAAATAAAATAAGATTTTAGGCCATAAGGGACTTTAGTTGGCAGTTCATGTATGATTTTGACTGTACACAAAATGTTTCAATTCTGATCCTAGCCCTTGAGAGCAGATAGAATCCTCTTGACATCAGAAGGTAAATGGATAGGATAAATAAAATGACTCACAAAACTCAGGACAGTGTTATATACCCTTTTCTCCTGCTAAAATATTTTGGTCTTAAAAACTCGCTTTTTGAACATTATCTGTGACCATTTACAATCTACAAGTTTTCTTTTCCATTTTGGTATTAAAAAAAAATTCAGTCCTTGGGATTATTTACTTCTCAGTCTTTACAAAAATGTAGTCAGAATTTTTAATGGATATGTTTGGGGTGGGGGAACATGATGTATGTAAAGCAAATTCTCTCCAGAGAGACTATCACTGTTCTTAAAATTTTAGAAATCAACAGATTTTACAGACTGAGAATATAATTTCCCGAAAACACTTTAGTGATCAGCAAATAATCCCTGTTGATTTATAATTGTGGAAGCAGACTTCTTTAGGATGATTTAATGTGGCCATTCCTGAATGTCTCCCTTCCTATGTACCCTCTTTGTGAGTCCTCTGCTAGACTCGGAGGGATACAGAGTCCAAACCGAATAACTCCATGTTTTGTGTAACTGACCTTTTTCATCCTTTGTAATTTCCTACTCCAGGAAATCATCAGATATGCCGCCTGGTCAACCATCAGCATAGTTTACATTGCCAGTGGGACCAGCCTGTGCGCTACCATCGTGGGGACATCTTTGAAAATGTGGACTATGTTCAGGTCTTTTTCTTAATCTTTCCTAGTTTTTACAGACTTTTGCCAAAGACTAATATATTGTTTCTTTATCCTTCATATCTTACATGTTGTTACTTAAAATTTGTGATGTAGATTTAAGATGTTGAGTATTATTTTTATAAAGTCACATTTTGTGGAGCATGTTCAGTTTTCCATGGCTGAAAAATTCCATTTCCCAAAATAGTGTCTATATATGTTATATTTGATGAAGTTGAGCTATTCTTAGTATTGAGCTCAAAGCCTTCACCTTCCCCTCTTAATCTTCCTGAGTAAGACCTATAAAATCTAGGGGAAAAGTAATCATGCTGTCTCTTCTGTGAAGTCATAAACCCGGTTAGATTGTCTCAACTATATTGGTAACAAAATCATCATTATGAACAGAAAGTGTTTATTAGGCACTATTGTTTAGGCAAATGCTCTTTCTCATATACTTGCACCAGTATACACACAAACACATATAACCAGTTCTAGGCCATCTAGTTAAGAGGAGAAGATTTACAAGGATACCAAATAGCCTGTACCTAATGCTGAACTGAGTGGGATAGATAATAAATACAACCGAAATTCCAAGTAATATCCTAAAGAATATGGATAATAAAATAATACTTATTCTTTTATGTTTGAAAACCCACCATGTCCTATTTATAGATACAGAAATGTCCAGAGTTACTCAGTTCCTGGCATCCCCACTTCAAACCTGCAGCTACAAATTTGGTTGTTCACTGTACCTATTCAGGAGTACCCAGCTCCCCTCACTTCTGACCTGTTAGATTCTACCAGTCCCTTGGGTTCAGTGTTGTTGTATGTCCCATCACATTGGAACTCACTCATAACTGACCCTCCAGTGGGTCATCAGAATCTGTAAACCATATAGGAGGAGATTGCCCATTTTTCCCCTTGGAGCAGCTGTTAGAGCAAACCAAAAGCCTTTGGGTTGGCAGCGCAGTTCTTCACCACTAATCCACTAGAGCTCCTTTTGGGTTCAGTAGTTCACTAAAATGACTCACAAAACTCAGGGCAGTGTTATACTTAGGAGAGCTATATCTTTGTTAGAGCAAAAAGAGAATACCAATAAAAAGAATGGGATGAGGTCTGAGAAAGTTCCAACACAGAACTTCCATATCTCAAAGACGGATATGCTATCCTCCACATGCAACAGTGTTTATCACTAATCAGGAAACTCATGGAGCTTTCACAGCTAGACTTTTAGTAGAGATCTTGGTACATATTCAAATTCTAGCTTCTCTTCCTCATTTCATCAGTAACTGAAGTAATTAGGGCTTTGATAACCCAGAGTGGGTATTCATGGCCTTATCATTCTTACTACCCAGACCCTAGAGTCACCTCAGTAGCATAACTTGTTAATTAAAATGTGCTCTGGAGTAAGATACGGTTGCTGTATTACTTAAATACTTTGATTTCCTATTAGCAATATTTGCATATTGATCAGCTTTTTTAATTTGAGTTCAATGTTATTCATAACTTTTCCACCTCTGATTTGATTGAACTTTTCATTTTCTAGTTTGGTGAAGATTCTTCAACCTCTAGTATGATGTCTGTGAATTTTGATGTTCAGATAAATCAGACTGAAATCAGTGATTCAGTCAAGTCTTCTCCTGTGGCCCATTCTGTTCTCTGGATCTGGGGCAGGGACTCTGATGCATATAGGGTAAGATAATAAAGGATAATACAAGGTTGGGTTCCCCCCATTGTACAGTGGTGGGCCCCAGCCTCAGTGATATTAATATGGCCCCTTCAATACAAAACTTTGCACACTGAGTATAATTATCATACTTCACAAGTTTCTAAACTTGGCCTAGTTTATGCTTGAATATATGTCACTAATTTAATCAGCACTCTTTTTAAGTTCCTCTTGGGACCAGACTGGGATTACAATAGACAAACTCCATGTACTATTGGAGCTTCTATTTCTATGGAATATATAGGCAGCTTATAAAGAATCTCTATTTCTAAGCCACGCAGGAAATAGTTATATGCTAGCCAGTGGAAATCACCAGGTATGAGAGCAGGGACCACTTTTGTTTTGTTAACCTTCAAATTTATTGATCTTTCATTCTAATAGTTAACCACTCAGATTTGTAAAAAGAGCAAGGGCCACGTTGGGAGCATCATATCTGACTTTAATCAACTTCACGGAGGGAAAATATCCTCATCCCCAGAATCAATAACACTAAGACTAAGAGTTACCTCTCCTTCCCAGAAATCCATGCAAGCCATTCCTTGTGAGCCATTGGCTCCAATGATTTAGGCCTGGCAAACCCTGAATCCTTTGATGGTAAAGTGGATGGAATTATCATGACTGAGTTAGCCTAAAAATCTGAGGTAGATAGAGTACTATGGGGGCAAGCACAGCACCTACCACATTTACCTTAAAATATTAAAATTTCTACTTAATGGTATGCATAGATGCTCTTAGAAGTTTGCTTAGCTGTTGAAATACTGTATCTGAAGACATTTATGAGAAACTTTCTTTCTATATTAGGACAAACAGCATGTTCTGTGGCCCAAAAGAACAGACTGTGCAGAAAGCTACCCTCGTGTCCCTGTTGAGGGGGAATTGCCAACTTATTTTCTGCCTCCGGAAAACAAAGGACTCAGGCAAGTGCTGATGGATGTGGCAAAGCACCTGATTCTGCATGAGTGTCATCTGGCGGTTCTTTGAGAGCACCAGCCTTGGACCTGAAAGGTTAAGTCTTTATCTTGACATCACCCAAACTTGGAAAATATGAATCTTGTTCCTTTTTCTTGTGCCAGGATCCACGAGCTCAACAGTGATGATTATTCTTCAGAAGAAGAGGTCCAAACCCCAGACTGTTCCATAACTGACTTCAGAAAAAGCCAGCCTCTGTCCTACTTAGTCAAAGAATTAGAGGTCCGCATGGATCTGAAAGCCAAAATACCAGATGACCATGCACGAAAAGTAAGGCTCACTTCGGCTGGTGTTTATTGCCGTCCATTCTGGGTGACTTCCGAAGCCTCTTAGATGGAACCGAAAATTTAGGTGAAGGCAGCTGTTGAGCTTTCAATTTCTAGGCTAGAATTGAGGTATTGGTGAGATGACTGAGGAATCAGTCATGCAGTCATGCTATTGAAGAAGTAAGTGGTAGGAAAGTATTCCTTGGGGCTGCTTATGAGGATGACCTCAGCTCTGTTTCTTCCACTCAAAGAGGTAGGAAGATGAATAACACAGAACTCTTGAGTTTACCTAGCGAACGTCATCCTGCCCACTTTGAGCTAGTTTTGTATCCTTCAGTTTCCAGAGTTGGGAGTCTCAAGGTTCTCTTTCCGTGGCCTTTTCAACTGCGCTGTGGTCTTATTTGATGCCCTTAGGAATTTGTATGAGTTTGATAACCACTTGCAAATATTAGGGGAACACTGGTGGCCTAATTGGTAATGACTTGCACTGCCAACACAAAAGCAGGCAGATTGAATCCGCCAGCTGCTCCACAGGAGAAAGGTGGCCAATCTCCTGAGCGATGTAAAACATCTGAAAACCTGCTGGAGAGTCAGCTATGAGTCTGTTCTGACTTGACGGTAATAAGTTTCTGAGTTTGCAAACATTGTGAATAAGTTATGTTGTGCTATTTTCTTTAATTCCTGTTAGTTATTTATAACTTGGAATTTTTTATTACTGAGTATAAATTGTGTGAGATATTGTATTAGATAAAAGTGAAAAACTACCTTGTTACAGGGAAAACAAACCACCACAACTGCCTGCTTCTTTAAAAAAAAAATAATAATTGCAAAACTATCAGCATTTACTACTTATAGTAAAAAAATATTTACTGAGGCATAAAAACCTTATTTACCTGGTACTATCCGGGGTACTAGGAATACAAAGATAAATAGCTCATGTTTCCTGCCTTAGGATTGCTCACAGTCATATAAATGTTACAAAAACATAAAGTAGATTAATTGAGAATGCAGTAGTTTTTACAACAAGGGAAAAGAACAGGTTTTTATCACATGCTGTTGTCTTCTGAATAATGTCTTATTCCATTCTGGACTTTTAGGTTGACTGTAATGAGATATCATAGATTGCTTTAATGTACATGTGTTTGCTTGTATGTGTCTTTTAAAGGGAAAATGTTAAATCTGTTTTTAAAAGTGTCATTTACTAGTGTCATGTACCCCGTATGCCCATATTTGAATCCATCTCCCAGCCAATCATTGCTTCTTTATGAGTTTCAAACAAAATAAGCAACACTATCTACATTTACTTGTATATTATCCATAATGTTGGTACATGTCAGCAGGTCGTCTCCTGTTGGTGTGTGGATGGTCTCATCTCACACATTTTAAAGCATCTGTTTTTTTCATACGTAGCAGTTCCTGAGGAACTCGAATAAAGGCTGCCATCTATGAAATTATTTTCAAATGTCTTCCTAGTCATTTTAAATTTAGTCGCTCTTCCTTTTAATGCTTTCAGATTTTGCTTTCCCGTATTAATAATTATACTGTCCCAGAAGAAGAAATTGGGTCTTTCCTATTTCATGCTATTAACAAGGTGAGTCATCTGTGATGCACATCTTAAACATATAAGCTTGGTGTCACTGTTATTTGTCATTGCATCAATTCTTAATCGTAACGATCCCCTGGGACAGTGTAGTACTATCCCATAGCGTTCTCTAAGCTGTACCCTTCACCAAGGCAGATCACCGGATAATTGCTCCCATGGAGTGACTGCTGGTTTCTAACCAGTTATCATCTAACATGGCACCAAAACTCCTTAAACCCTTAGTAATTGTCAAATCAAGCTTATTAAAAAGTCTGTATAGAATAGATACATAGTAATGCACAGAATAAATGCTGCATGCTGATTTTAACTGAAATGTTGGTGATTTTTCAGCCGAATGCTCCTGTCTGGCTCATACTCAACGAAGCAGGACTCTACTGGAGAGCAGTAGGAAATAGCACTTTTGCTATTGCTTGTCTTCAGAGGGCTTTGAATTTAACCCCGTTTCAGTACCAAGATATTCCTCTTGTCAACTTGGCCAACCTTTTGATTCACTATGGCCTTCATCTTGATGCCACTACACTGCTGCTACAGGCATTAGCCATCAATAGCTCCGAGGTGAGATTTTATTTCTTGTCAGATCTGTGTTTGAGTGTGTGTCTGTGTGTGTACTCTGTGAGGTTATTCAAATGCAGAAAACAATCCGTGTTTTTCTAGGGAAGGTGTAGAAAAGTCATATTTTGGTTTTCAGAATAGAAATTACATGTTTACAGAGAGCATAAAAAATACTTTGTTTTGTTTTCTTTCTGATAAGTTCGCATTTTTATTTTAAAATGAGTAGAATTGCCAATTAGACAGTTAATGTTTTAGACATTTCCATTTAAATAAGAGCAGCATAGCTTCTAAAAATGCATTGCCTCTTTTTTTATGTCAGTCTGAAACATCTGGTTCTTATTTTATCCTACTTGTCACAGTGTGCACCTGCTTAATATTGTACTAGTTTACAACTTGAATTTATAGTTTTCTTTGTACCTACCAAACCAGAGCACAGTCTAAAGGTTGTTTTGATAAGAATAGACAGGTGGGTTGATATCCATACCCTGAGTCTGTGGGGACCGGCAAACCGTGGAGTCTGTCATTGCTTTGTAGTTCACTACTGTATCAAAGATGCTTTTTTTGCCTTTTCGTAAGCTTTGGCGACATGGTGGATAGGGAGCTGTACTGTCAACCCAAAGGCATGTAGTTCTAATACATCAGCTGTTCCAAGGGAGAAGAAAGGGCAGTCTCCTCCTATGTGAATTACTGCCTCTGAAAACCTGCTGGAAGGTCAGCTATGAATTGGTTGTGACTCAACAGCATATAACAACAACAACATTAAGTTTGATGGAATGCAGTTAAAATGAATGAACAGCAAAATTGATTTATAGCTCTAATATCTGCTTTAGATTATACAGCCAAAGTAACCATTAGATGAGGTATGCATGACTGGCTTAGACTGATTTAAAGGTAACCCTGCCCCCAAAATTCCATTTTTAAGTATGAGAAGGAAGCATTGTCTGAAAAGAGTTTGAGTAAAACAAGTGCAGCTCACTACACAATGAGTTTGAAATACACAGATTCTCAACTGCATTTAAATAAGAGATTATAATCTCTTTGCTAGACATCAATTGAAATTGTCAAAGAAGTACATAAAATATTTATCAAATAAATGTATCTATAAAAATGATGCTTACAATGTGCCAGATGCCAGTTTTATAAGGGGAACAGATGCTGTGTTTGGCTGTGAAGAAGCACGGGCCCCCCCAGACACACGGAATGCTCAGTACAGCTGCGTTCTCCTCATTGCTTCACTCTACAGTGCCACCAGCCACGGCAATTAGGCAGCATTCTTCCAAAGAAAGAAGAGCTTCCATTGCAATTAATTCTTTTTTCCATATTTTAAAATTATACTAGAACTGCAGTTGTTAAAATTCACCTTCCTCAAACTGACAACATTTGGAAGTTTTTCCTGTTTTTTATTTTTCTTTTTAAAGCAGGTTTATTTGGATATTTTTTTTAAAAAAAAATTTATTCATTAGTTGTACATTTTCTTCCCTTCTTCTTCCTACTTCCTCCCCCAGGCCACTTTGCAATGCATTTCATGTTCCAGATTGTTGCTATACATATATTCCTTTTGGACTATTCTTCCCTTCATCTGTTCCAATGCAGTGTTCACTATCAATCCCCCCTTTTCCTATTCTCCACCCAGTCCCCATCCCACTCCACCCTGTCAGTCCTACTATTTTCTAACAGTGTTATGTAGTATTTGTCCTTTTGTGACTGAGATATTTCACTTAATACAGTGTCCTCCAGGCACACCCATGTTATGTAATGATATATGAGTTCATTGTTTTTCAGTGCTTCATTGTAGTCCATGGTGTGAATGTAACAGTAGATTTTCCATTTGTTTGTTGATGGGCATTTGGGTTGCTCCCATCTCTTTGCTGTTATAAATAATGTAGCAATAAACAGGGGTGTGCATACATCTCTTTGAATCCTAGCTCTGGTTTCTTTCCCAACAGTGGAATTGTTTGGTCAAATGGTATTTTGTTTCCAGTGTTTTTGAGAAAGTGCAAGGCACCTTCCATAGTGCCTGTACCATTTTACATTCCCATTAGAAGTGAATAAGAATGCCAGTCTCTTCACAGCTTTGCCAGCATTTGTTGTTTGCTACCAGAAGTATTTCTTTATAAGCTTTAATTTAATGAAAATATGTAAAAAAAAAAAACATTTTAAAAAAGAAAATAGTTCATAATCTTGAAACTCCACTGTACAGCTGATTTTTTTTTTACTTTTTTTTCTATATTTTATTAATTTTCATAAACATTTGCAGAGATTTTGGGTTTCCATTCATTCATTGTTGCACTATTCTCTCTACCCTCCTCCCAGTTTGTTCTTGTCCAAATGCCACAGGGCTTGTCAAAGCCAGTTCTGATTAATCTTCTTTGTCAGTGTGTCCTTTGCCATTCCCTATCACTCCTCCCTGAGAGAGACTTCACCCTGAGTCATAAGGAAAAGGGGATGGCGTATTCTCTTAGCTACTTCCTGCTGAAAAGGGACGCTGTGGGTTTCAGGGTGAAGATCTTCTCTCACTACTCTAAAGGGCCCCTTTGGCAGTAGGAAACACATAGACTATTATGGAGATTGATTTTGGAATTTAGATGCACTCTTATTGATTATGCTTGGCCGTACATGTTCATATCCTTGAAGATGTATCATGGGGGTGTTGCAACCTAGAAGACACAAATTTTACTAACAAGTTATAAGTACATGAGTCCAAAAATTATGGAAAAGTAAAAGAAAAGATTCTTTCATTGTTTTACAAACCCTCCCCCAGGTCCCCTCCACCATGTAGCCCTCGCTCTAGTCTCCTGTGATGACAGAAATACCTAGTTATATATCTCTTTTAAACAGTTTTCTCCCTCCTCTGTTTCAGTGCAGTATACATTATTGAACCCATCTTACTCATTCTCTCCCCAACCCCAAGGACAGTCCCATTCTACAACAGTGGCATCATGTAATATTTGTCCTTTTGTGACTGGGATATTTCACTCAGCATAATGTTCTCCAGAGTCAACCATTTTGAATACAGCTGATTTTTAAAGTTTCTTTTGTAAAAAAAGTTACTATCATATAGTTTTTATACTCATAAATTTAAATGGAAGTGGGTGGTGGAAAGAATCACTGGGAAAGCTCAATATCAGCTGTGAAAACTAAGCCAGGTGCTGATTATGGAATAGACCACCAACTACTCACAAGCAGGTTCAAGCTGAAGGTGAGGAAAATTAAATCAAATGCATGGGAACCAAAATTTGACCATTGAGTCTGTCCCACCTGAATTTCAAAACCATCTCAGAGACCTTGAAGACTAATGAGCAAAGACCAGGCGAGCTGTGGAAGGATATAAAAAATATCATCCAAGAAGAATGCCAAAGGTCATAACAAAGACCGAGGAGGAAGAAAAGACTGAGATGAATGTTCGAAGAGATTCTGAATCTTGCACTAAAACTCTAGGTAGCCAAAGCAAAGGGAAGAAATCAAGATATTAAGGAGCTGAACAGAAGATGTCAAAGGGCAGCACAGGAAGACAAAGTATTATATTGAACTGTGCAAAGATCTGGAGTCAGAAAATCAAAGCAGCCGAACTTGCTCTGCATTTCTTAAGCTGAAAGAACTGAAGAACAAATAATGGAAGCCTCAAATTGAAATGCTTAAGGATGCTTTGGGCAGAATATGAAATGACCCAGGAAGCATTAGAAGAAGATGGAAAGAGTATACAGAGTCATTGTACAAACAGGAATTGGCAGACACAGAAGAATTTCATGAAATTATGTGCAAGAGCCTATGGTAATGAAGAAAGAAGTTCAAGCTTCTCTGAAAGAATAGGCAAAAAAACAAGGCCACAGCAATTGGTTACATACTGATTGACATTTTTCAACAGACAAACATGGCCCTGGATGTGCTTACTAAGTTGTGTGAAAGAATCCGGAGGACAACCACCTGGCCTACTGACTGGAAGAGATCTGTATTTGTTCCCATTCCAAAGAAAGGTGAACCAACAGAATGCAGAAACTATTGAACAATAACATTGATATCACATGCAAGCATGATTTGGCTGAAGATTATCCAAAAACAACTGAAATAGCACATCAGCAGAGAACTGCCTGAAATGCAGGTTGGGTTTAGAAGAGGCTGTGGTACTAGTGAAATTATAACAAAATTACATGGATCTTGGCAGAAAGCAGAGAGTACCAGAGGAATGTCTATTTGTGTTTCTTTGGCTGTGCAAAGGCATTTGACTGTGTGGATCACAACAAACTGTGGCTAACTCAGAAAAATGGGAATCCCAGAACACTTGATTGTGCTTATGTGAAACCCATACTTGGAGGCAGAGCTAGGAAATGCTGTATGGTTCAAAATTGGGAAGGGTGTGTGCCAGGGATGTGTCCTATCTCCATACCTTATCAATCTATATTCAGAACAGATCATCTAGGAAACTGGGCTCTATGAGGAGAAATGTGGCATCTGGATTGGAGGAAGACTCATCAATAATCAACCACAAATTGAGACACTTGGGAGTGAACCTAATTGGAGACACACAATAGCTATACAAAAAACCCTACAGAACATTTCTGCAAAACATAATAAAAGACCTAAATAAATGGAAAATTGTTCCCTGTTCATGAATAGGAAGACTCAATACTGTGAAAATTAGAATCCTTCCAAAAGCAATGTACATGTTTACCACAGTCCCAATCTAGATACTGAAATTCTTTTTCAAGGAGATAGAAAGGGAAATTGTCAAGTTTATTTTAAAAGTAAAGAGGCCCTGAATAAGCAAAGCACTTCTGAAAAACAAAAATAAAGTGGGAGGCATAGCACTCCTGACCTCAAAACCTACTACACAGCGGTAGTAACCAAAATAGCATTGGTACTGGTACAAAAGGCACATAGAGCAGCGCGAGGGCGACGCCGCCAGACCGGGGAACGCCGGGGGAACGCAGAACGCCGCCCGCCGGGGGAAACTCACGTGGCCGCCCGCCAGACCAGGGGAACGCCGCCACCAGACCGGGAATGCC